ATCATTCATTCATAATGCACGTTTAGACAATCGTACCTGCTCATTCCTTCTGTGCAGGTTCATCATAATGCAAATCGTGACAGTTTTTCTTTTGCCAATATTTTGCAATTGTAATTATTTGTCTTTCAAATATGTTACTTAATAAGAGTATTATCTACATAAAAGGGCAACTATTTGGCAAAAGAATTTCAAATAAAGCAGCAAATAAAAAAACCGCAAGTAATTACTGCATTGACGAGATATGATGCAATGATCGGATATCTCACGAATGATAGAAAACAGCTGAAAATAAGTTCGTCATCTAAATCGAGAATTGGACGGCGAAAACCTACGTTCTCCAATTCAACAAGCAAAACCAATCACCCTGAACTACTAGTGTTGTTACTGATAGAGAGAGGGACTCTGCTCGTAGATTGCATTTGTGTAACGACTGAGACAAACAGACGACCCTAAAAGCTTGTTCTCAATTAATTATATGGAATTTACAGAATGATACAGGGTGTGTTCACGTAGATTTGTTGTTGTCCTCTAGAGCTACTTACAAAAGAAAATTTCTTTTCTTCGACGGTAATTTGCTCAAAGCATTTTGCTGTTTGATACATGCATGCATCAATTATTCATGCCGCGATTGGTTGTATAATTTGCATTCGTGTTTGACGTAGAGTATTGTCGTAAATCTGTTTCCCAGTGCAGGCTATCACGGCAACCCTAGTTGTTAAAAAAAGAAAACTAGACCTTTAACTGTATTTAATGTTTAATATCTAGTGTGGCTTAGTTTGCGTATGTTATTAAATCACATCTGTTATCGCTGGATTTTATTTTGTTATCATTTTTTTCAAAATGAATGCCCAGAATTTCTTCATCGTAATAGTTGTATGAAAAACAGGGAGTGAAATGGCCTGACTTGTATGACTTCACGCCCGAGGATTTACTCTTAGCATTATCTCTTTGTCACATTCACGACAAACACTTCAGAGCTTGGCTTTTTGGGAGGGAAAACCACAAAAACCACAAGGCTGCTAAAAGGGTCAACACAGCCAACCCAAAGAAATCTTCAGGATATCCGGAATTTCTCGCCTGGATGTCTGAGTTACCTTCCTGGAGAAACTAAAACTTGATAATGTAAACCTTGCTAAAATACGTCAGACTATAGATTTAAATTTTTTTTGTATCAGTTCGGGTCTTAAGTGGGGGAAATTCCCATTTCCAATACAATGTACGTGCCTCTTGTCAGTTTTATTCATTGCTTTTTACAGTTTGTTTCATGACCAACGAAGCTAGGAGCTTAATGCCAAAAGGGATCAAAAGGGAACAAGTTGCCTTGTCCATGTCCTTAAGTGCATAGTCAAGAAATGATTTCGCTCATTTTAGCTACCTCGTACTCCTGTTATGAAAAAGATGGTCAAATGAAAATAACGATATTTTCTTACAAGGCGAAAGTTTATTTTAGTTCTGTGTTAAACTAGTCATACCCCCTTCTGAACGTTAACGTGAATTTTGCTTAGAAAAATTCAAAGTGTAATTGAAACGTCATTTTAAAGACCTTAAACGATGTCAATTCATTTATTTTAATGCATCAGTAGTCGAATATGATTTATGATAAAAAGATAAAAGTCTAAAATACTGTTAGTCAGTTTTTCCATATGAAAGAAGATTAAATAAAAGTCCATCAAGGCCAAGATTTGTTACTTAATATCCTCACTCCTATTTCATGAATGTTCCTTAAAAACACTTAGCCACTCAAATGGCATCAATATCAAATTTTAAATCTGCCCGAGTGGGTAAGATTTCCCGTTTATTAAGTACTGCAAAGTAAGGGTTTTACACGACGTTTACTGCCTTCTTAATTTCTCAGTGTTGGCACACGTAGATGTTATGGTTTGGCAAGCTATCTGGCTCCGGCCATGCGATCTCGCTGCGACCTTGACAGTGCATACTGAGCATTTTGACAGAACGGAATGCAAAAAAGGCATATTTCAGTATCTCTACCTGTTTTCAGGAAGTTCTACCTTAAAATCGCGGATTAAGTGTTTGTCAGAAGTGAAAATTGAAATCAGAGATTCCTTTCTCGAGACACTTGCATTTCATCTCCAAAATATGTTGTGTACAAAATTGTTAGCAACTATGAAGTAAATCCTGGAAATCCGCTTAAGACAATACGTGTAATAAAAATGTTATTTTGTCACAGAACTAGATTGCAATCAGTACGTTACACGAAAAGTTACGACAACGTTGGTCCAAATCTGCCTTTAACACGTTCTGATCACCTCATTATGGTTTCTGCAAATGGGCGTCTCTTTCCTTGTCTAACGAAAATGGCACGAAAACGCGAAAAAAAGTAATGATAATAATAACACACACAATAATAACTCTAACGTAAAAGTCAGCTCAAATCAGTGTTCGTCATTAATACCCTGCACAGTGGTTGAGTAGCCTTAAATTACTGTCGGTTTGAGCGAGCTCTCAGTTTAAAATTTAATCGAGTTACAACCGCAGTGAAAATCTCTTTGGTGCTAAAAGGGTCTGAAGCGTCAGACGACAGGGAAGGGTTAAACTTGAAAGAAATACTGAGTAATTAGTGTCCCCACCGTGTGGGAAAAAGAGTAGCAGCGTGTTCACACATATCGCTCTCAGATATGATCACTTACTCAATTATGGCTTGATAAGGCTGATCTCCTAGCTCGCCAGTGCGTATTTTTGACACCTGTTTTTTTTTCCTTTTTTTGACGTTACTTGACTCTTAATTTTTGCCCATTAACAACGGATCCTCCATCTTCAGGGACCGGCATAAGACTATGATCAGAGGCCCGCTAATTAATCAGGCAGGTTTTGCCGGCCGGGTGTACATCTAGTGTTTATAAAATCAAAATCTCGGCCCAGCGCCTGGTCGCGTGTTGCTTTCCCCAGGCGGGCCATGCGCTTCGACTGAACATGTTACACTAAAATTTCTTGAAGTGAATTGTTTCTCTATCTCGAATAGAATTTAATTTAAGATATTAAGTTATCCTCGAATGATGTAATGCACAGCCTCCTTATTTATTTTTTTTTCAAGTTATAATTAACTTTATTTACGTTTTTTTAAAACCATTAATGCCCAGTTAGGTAAACTTGGTTACATCATCTCAATCTGCGAGCACATGAAAGAAGAAACGTTTTCTTTATTTTCTTGCGTTCCGGATGATTCTAGACAAACTTTCTTTACCGTTCTACATCTCTTCAAGTTCAAGATGGCGATCGTGTCAAGGATGAACTCGTGCGTGCTAAAATTAGTAACTGACAACGAAGAGCTGTCAAAATTTACTACTGTTTATACTGAAGGGATAAGCAGCTTCAGCCAAACTGAAATTACGAATGTACGTTTACAGTGCTGTTAAAAAAATCATTTTGTGTCCAGATTAGAACGTTTACTGCTAAATTTTGGCTTTGTCGTAAATTTAAGTGAAAAGAATTTTGTTTAGGCATGACACACTCTAGCAGGATTCGATCGCTTATCCGTTTTTCAAGGGATTGCTGATGTCAAACTTCTTGTTAAGCCCATAAACCAATCTAAAGATTTATCTTATAATCAACGTCGATGCGCTACAATTTCACCGCTGTGCGCATCTATCGTTTCAAGTTAATGAAGAGATTGTTATGAAACATCAAGCGAAAAAGATAACAGAAGGGTCTTCAAAGTCTATAATTAGCAACAGATAGTTTTCACAGATAACATTACGCAGATAAATCTTTGCCTTCATTATTGAAATTAACTTAAAGCGCGTGGACATTTCTAGCATCTTGCTGAGAGCTCCTTTTCGAAACGATGTGCACGTGGACAGTTATTTAGAATATATCTTTATTCCAGAACAATCGATCAAGCAGATGTGGGTCAATATTGGGGAAAGCGAAGGAAGCTTGATGCATAACACAAGGCGTGCTAATGAATAATTAGCACAAATCACAGTTCTTTTGTTCCAAGTGATGTTCGAACAAGCCTAGTTTCCGGTGTAGAAAGAGATTAGCACTAGGAGTCAAGGGTGCCATAAAATGTCTGAAAACAACTTTTCGCCATGAAAAACCTTTTCCGGACTCAAAGACCTGTCTTTGGGCATAAAGAACCTTTCATGGACTTAAGCGAAATCGTGACGTCAGACAGGTCTGATACGACTTTTTAACGAACTCGAACAACTGTTATTCGGACGACGCAATCACGAAGTAACTTAAGCTCCAATATTATCGCATCAAAAAAGAGAAATGATCGATTTAATCGAAAGTTGAAACATAGTTATCAAAATGAAGCGAACAAGACGCATATGTCCAAAGCTATTTGGTTAGGTCAAATTTAAAAAAACGCAAAAATTACGGTGGAAAAAAATCTATCTCTGTGCAAGATTATGACAAGTGTTGACACATCTCTGTGTGTACTTTGACTGGCGTGGGCCAATCGTTTTCACCAGAGATAACAATCTGTGTGTAAGCTGATTTTATGAGCTGTCAAATCAAGAAAACTTAGAAAGGCTGAGACGGTGAATTTTTTCAAGCCGGCCTAAACAAGGATAACCACGACCGCACTAATGGCGGTAACATGGCACCGCGCGCACGAATCAAGACACTAATAAAGCTCATTAGCAAATCTTTATTTTAAAAGCAACCCGAAATTGTACATCCAAATATAAACTACGGTAGATTGCATGCATCGCGTATAAATTGAAGAAACTAGGAGACGTACTTTGTACCTCGATCGGCCCCTTGCGGGCTTTTTAGCCTTCAACTGTGTACATCACTTGTATTTGACCCCTTATGTAAACTGTACATTGAAAAATAATTCCTTGTCTACGCATTGCGCTTGAAAGTAAGACAAAACAATACCGAAATTATGAAATAAAGTGTTCGTTGGCATCGAACGTGACGGCTGAAAAACTGTCACCCTATCGATATTGGCAAAAAATCTCGGCACCAAGTCCTTGCGTAATGGAATTTTTACAGTCAAAAGTCTGCATAGCTTCCTCGATAGTGTTACCTCACCAGGCCACATCACACATAATATTTGCTGTTTCTGTGCCGTCTAGGTACTGATCGAATTCCTCCCTGTTGAAGTCTCCTTCGGGTAACAGCTCCCTGATATGTTGAGCGAAGTAGAAGATCTGATTTGCACTGGTGTCATTGGGTTGAAGTTGAGTGTTCGCGCTACCAGGCATCATCGGCACAGAATTCGGTACCTGTAGGCCTCCGTTTGTGAGATAGATCGGGCTCACAGGCGCTGAATTTGAAGTAGATACACCGACATATGGCGGTGGGGAGGTGGGATGTGATTTTATCTGCACACTAGAGGGCGCACTTTGAAGGTCTTGCCAGCAAGTTGGGAAGTTAAACTCACTACCAAATTCGTCAGATCCGGGACTCGTCTCTGGTGTGGGAAGGCTTATCTCGGACAAATTTGGCAAGGTAGAATGGCCGCCGAGATGTGTCAGCCTTAAATCTCCGTTTGCAAACGGAATTGGTGCAGATGACTGACCAAAGTTCATTAAATTTTCCTCTGCAGGGTTGACCGCGAGTTGTCCGCACTCGGCACCTGAAGTAGAGTGCGAGACATGGGCTGTTGTTTCTTTCGGATTGCGTATCACTGCGCAGTTCGGGGGTGTAGAAGATGTCATTTTCTTACAAACTCTTTTGGGGTGTTTTCTTCGCCTGGGCCGATATTTGTAGTCAGGGTGATCCTTAATATGCTGTTGCCGCAAACGCTCGGCCTCTTCTACATAAGGTCGTTTCTGCGACCCGTTCAGCGATCTCCAAGCTTGTCCCAGAATTTTACTGAGCTCGGCATTGTGCAGCTCTGGGTTTGCATCCGCCAGTCGTCTTCTCTCCACTTGTGCCCAAACCATGAAAGCGTTCATAGGACGCTTGATTCTGTCGGAGTCGTTCTCCATAGCTGGGTCTTTCTTCGCGACAGCTCCTTGGTCCATCGACCCCAGCAATTTTGCATAATTCTGGCTATGCCGCGGCAGTTGAGGGTGACATACACCGATCGGATTGTCAAACCCCAAGGGGTTTAAAATTTGTGGTAGAGGTGCCGGGATTCTCTTATTTCGTACCGTTCTTCGATCGGAGAGCAGCATTCTGTCGTCGCCATGCATTTCTTCGCGTTCTGTGCTGTTATACGGTCGTGGCGAGGTTAGCGCGGAAGAATTTTCTTCTGACTTCAAAAAAATTCGCCTGCCAAGCTCCCTGCTGCTATGATGTCTCTGATATGCAAGAACACGTGTGATAGATGTGACAAGCGAGTTGAAAATAAGCTTTTTTATCACGTGGTTGAGAGGAGACATGTTTATGTAACACGTCGAGGGAGCCAATCAGAGAGCCGTAAATTTGACAGTGCAATAGATCCTGGTGCCAAGATGACTACGTCTTGAAAGGATTTGTGCCCGTATATTTCATGGGTATTTTACCGAAATATCGGGTTACGCTAAAGTAACCTGAGGGTCAAGATATCCGGGAGCTATCAGGAAATATGACGTTTTGGCTCCAGCCCACAAATTCCTTGCCAGAAATTCCGCCAAAACGCCGTAAGTGTCGTGCAAAGAGTAATCAGAAAAGTATGTCCCAGAGTGCGGAACCGAGGGGATAAAGTTATTTCCTTCCGACAACGCCAAACTGTCTGTTTGAATCAACTCTCAATGCATTTTATCCTGTAACAGACTGTCATGTAATTAGAATATGATGTAAATACATCTTTGGGTGCGCCATGCTAGGTGTTACGGACTTTATTCAAACTTTTCGGAGTACTTCCACGTTTCTATTGCACCTCTCGATGGATATTTCGTGAATCAGAAGGACTTGAGTAAACATGTGCAGCCCTAAAACAAAACTTAGTTCATCCTTAGCTTGGACGTGACCATAATATTGACTTTGAGATTAACACTCCGTGGATTTTGGCAACACAGGAGGGGCCAAGGCCGTCAGGAAAATGATTAGCGAAGCATATTGCTGTGGCACGAGGCTTTTACCGGTTCATTCGTTGAAAAATAAAAATTTTTTCTTGTTTTATTTCCTCACGCAAAGGCTATCAAAACTGGCCAGACGTCTATTTTGTGGGCCATGATGACATTTCCCAACCAGAGCAGCCTTACCCAGTCAAGTACATGTTAGGAAGTCACATATGTTAACGAAATAATATGTATTTATCAGTCTCTTCTTTTATTTTAAAAAATAGTTAAAGCTTGATACTAATTCCATGAAATTTCCACGGAGAAAAAGCGTAGTTTTGGTGATACGTTAATGCGAAATTGAACTTTGATTTCCTCAGCCACTGTCCAGTGCGTGCCACGATCAAATGCATCACACGTAACCTCTTTCACTTTCATACTCGCCAATGGGGCTAGTGGAATATAGAGCGGCCTTGTTGTCGCGAGAATTTAAACCTCGTGAGACTACTTAGGAAGAAAATCAGTCTGTAATCGCAGGATGACACATTCGGTAATACAATGTAATTTTGCCTTAAGTTTTTACTTCTTTAAAAAAAATCATGACCTTTCACGCGGATTACTGGAAGATGCACTGCATTGTTAAGGGGAGGAGAGGGAACATTTCATTTGTGAGGCTTTTTTCATCAACACAGCTTTTTATCCATATATCTTTGGCGCAAGCAACTTATGCTGAATGACATTCCCGTTTCACATGCGTACAACGAAAAACTACAGTATTATGAAAGAAAAAAGATAATTGGGAAGGCAAAAATCTGATTATAGTTTAGGTCCTTCAATCTTACAACTTTCCGCCTCAAAATGTAACGCCAAAATTCGTCGAAATACCCGTACGGTGATTGATTTTCACTTTCTTTCTTATAGTTTGAATTTAACAAGTTCTGCCTCAAAGTGCGAGCCGTCTCCTTCCAAAGGTTTTAGTTGACTTCTCCGCTGGTTCTTTAAAGACTGTGCGCGTGCTCCTATTCCCTAAACTAGAGAGCAATTAGAAAAAATAAACTGTGAAATTTTTTAAAACAAAAATAATTCAGCAATGAGTTTTTCTAAGCAATGACAAACGTCGTCGTCCAAAACCATGCCGACATTGTAATCTTTCCTAATGTACACTGGCTAGTCGCGCGATCAAGATTTTTGGGTCCTATCGGATGCGTGTTTTGGTTCATCACTGTGAACCAAAATTTTTCGCTTTGTTAAAATTTTCATCGTCAAAATAAAATTCATTTGGACTGCCTAATCGGATATGAAACCGTTACACCGCGCTAAAATATCAAAAGATCAGCCGCCATAACCGATAAGATACAGTAAAAGCAGCTTTTTATCGGTATTCTTTGTTACTCTGTCTGCCGAGACGACCTCGTTCAAACTTCAAGAGCCCAAAATTCACCTCTGTTATTGACAGAAAGTTAATCTGGGTTGAACTTGGGGCTCAAATACTTTAAGATTTTTTATTCTAAGGACGTGCTATCTGATTTTTTTTGTAACAGTGTCGCCAGTCTGCCCAAATGTAAGATTAGGAGCGGAAAGAAACGGAGAAGTGCAAGCTTTTTTTTATGTTTTTGAAGTCTGTGGTTTAAAAAGTATATTCTATGACATGACTTCATGATCTAGCTGAAGGGTGTTGACAAAAAAATATATACACCTGAATTAACTCCGTATGTTGTGGCGCCGCGCTAGAGTACCAGTGACGAGCAATTCCGGTGATTTGTTCGAGAAATTCTACTCCAAAAGACATATTTCCTGATTTGACTCACAAACTTACAAAGCGGTTCTTGGGAGTTTCTCGCAAACAGACTTAATGGCGCCTAGAAGAACAACTGACATCCAAATCCGTTTCGTAGCTTTGGACTAATATTTACCCTTAATGCGTTACCTTGATTGGCGACCAGTTCCGGTTACAAGAAAAGTACTCAATAAGGAGCAAACAAACTGACAACTGAGGCGGGCCAATCGACTGGAATATGATGTGAGCTTTATTTTGAAGTTATCTTCTTTGAAACATCTATTGAGATGATAATGGCTTTTTGTTTGTAACTGCTGTGTTGCTCAGTGACAGCTGTGCTGTACTAGCTTTTGTTAACAAAAAGGGTTTCGCAAGGCTGTTGATAAATACTGTTTGTTATCAAGATAAAAGATGAATACTTCTAAGTCCACGATTCAATTAAATTTCCTGGTCAATGAATTCCTTCAAACTGATACCTAGAAATTACAAATGTCTCAGCGGCCCTCAATTGTGGTTCATGCGATATCAATACGAAGTGAAGGTTTTTCTTCATGAGATCCGAAGTCTGATATATTTATTCCAGTTTATTTAAGCAGTAGACAATTTCTGTGCTTGATTTGTTTGAGGGGTTTTTCTTTGTTCTATAGATGTTATCTACTTCATCAACATCTGTTGGGGCCTTCAAGGTGATAGAAACTAGAGACACACGAGAGTCAAATAATTTTGCTCCAAGAATTTGTTTACTTCTCCTGGCCGTCCTCTGCGCTTCCGAAAAGTCTCCTGCGTCTTGCCGCTAAAGCGCATTTCCGTTTTCCAAGTATCGCATGCAAGACCTTGTGTCGCTCAGAAAGCTACACCGATTTCATTTGAGCAGGGTGAGATAGATTACTCCCTTATAAAGGGGTACAAGCAACGTCTCTGACTCTTTTGCTGAGTCCTCTTTGTCTAAAATTGAATATCATGGATTGAACCATTTGGCCCCGAGTATTGGGGTAAGGTTTCGTTCACTTCTCGGAATCCTGTACTGGACTTGGAGGTGTTTCTGGCGCGAAGAAGCTTTTATGAAGTCAATCAGGTCCTGAATAGGGTGAGTCAGTTCCTCATTTTGTCTGAGAGGGGATAGGGAGTACAAAATGTATGCCCCACACCTCTCCTGAGTACACTCTGTCCCTTCCCTTCCCCTCCCCCACTTCCGGTCTCTTGAGCCACAGACGTAAAGGCCATGTCTCAAATAGGCTGAACACTCAGTTGTCATCGGTTCTTGCCCAAATCTAACCGAGAATTCGGTAGCAGAAGCATAAGATGGTCGCAGAAACGAAATGGTTCGTATCGAAACCCAAATACGCAATTAATCTGCCAATGGAAACACATAATGGCTCTTCGTTTTAGCGATAGAAAAATTTAATTCTGAGATTATTTCCAAATCATTGTTTGCTTCTAAAGGAAAACAACAACTTGGTTATAATAAAGGAGGCATGTAAAGGATTAGAAAGGCTTTCTACGCATTAAGAAAGTAGACCTCATTAGGACGCCTTGGCGTATCTCCTGTATGAAGCACGTTGAATGCACAACACACTTCATATATAGGCAAAGGCCAGAGTCCTTTTCCTCCTTAAACAACGAGTGGTTAGCTACTCTAATGATAAAGAAAGATCTCTCAGGAACCATGCATGACGTTCTTCAATAGCAGTTCAGAATCCATTCGCACGGAACGGTCCATTTCAAGTGGTATTGTGAAGTATAGACAGCGCGTGTGCTTTCTGACTCAGGATTTTCAGTTCAAGGAATTCCGGCACATTTACCATATTGGCTCGCGCGCTCCTTAGTAAACACTTGCATGATGTACACTGGATCAGTTTCAATAACACTGGAGACCGGCCCGTACTTGTGCGCCTTTTTTTTTCCACCTCACCCCATTTTTTCGTGATCTGTAAATTGAAGGTGTTCGTCATACTGGCACGCTCGACAAAGTCGATTAAAGCGTTTAGCTCCTAGACTCTAGGCGAAATCGGTTTAACAGGGCGTAAGCCGGCATAACAACACAAACGAACTGAGTATTCATGACAATTTGATCTTTTATTGTAAAGCTTTGAGTGCTTCCTTAAGATCCAACCGATTAAACAAGGTAGAATGCAACACATAAATAATTCTTATATAATGTGGCATAGAACATGAGAATTTCTGAGAGTGTGAAAGAAAGGGTGAGTCAGACTAATGCTCTTACATAATCAATAAGGAGACGATGGATGGATTTAAGTATCACATTGAAGTTTAGCTTCTTATTAAGGTTTTTACCAGAGTCTCGAGAGATTGAAATCGAAGTATCCGCACGTGTACCTCAACTTCCATTGGTTTGAGTATTTTTGATCACTTACTTAGTTTTCATCAAGGATATGGTCTAATTAAAAGTATCATCTATTTTAAGGGTCATTTACTTTCATCTGTTTCCATGCGAACATTGTAACTATCTGAGTCACCTTGATTACGTAACAGCAGATCTGTTTCATGTAGAAATCGTAGAAGAGTTCTAAGTCCTCAAAGCAGCAATACACGAAAGCCTCTTAGGGGGGGGGGGGCTACATTAGAATCTTGAAACAACTTTTAGGGTAGCAAGAGACTGAAC